AGCCGCCTCCCTCCGTTCCCCCTTTCCTGCCCCCTCCTCTCCTCCCCCCTCCTCTCCCCTGTCCTCCTCCTCCTCCTCCTCCTCCTCCTCATCCTCCTCCTCCTCCTCCTCCTCCTCCTCCTCCTCCTCCTCCTCCTCCTCCTCTCCCTTCTCCTCCTCCCCCCTCCTCCCCCCTTCTCCTTCCCTCCCCCTCCTCCCCTGCTCCTTCCCCCTCCTCCGTCCTCTCCGCCCTCTCCTCCTCCTCCTTCCCCTGTCCTCTGTTTCCTCCTTCCCCCTCCTCCTTCCCTCCCCCCTCCTCCTCCTCCCTCCCCCGCGCCCCTGGGCGCGCGGGGAGAGCGCGCAGGTCTGGGCTCGACGCGACCCGCGCCCTGCGCCCTGCGAAGGCGGGGCGGCGTACCGCGCGCAGGCACGCGGGCCCGCCTGCGTTGCTGGGGGACACGTGGGGAGGAAAGGGGGCGGAAGGGGGAGAGGAGCAGGCCTGGAGGCGGCAGGGAAAGCGGGGAGGCAGGCCTCCCGAGGGCTGCAGGCATCTGCTCTGGAGCTTCCCTGGGGGGGGGCAAGGGGAGGGCGGGGGGCCTGGAGCGTACAGGACGGCGAAGAGGGCCACCAGATGTCAAGGATCGCGGAACACGGCATACAGGAGGGGCTCAGAGCGACCACCCGCTCGACGAGTGAGCCTCTGGCACGTCATCTGGGAGGAAGGGGGTCGTCCGAGCCCCTGCGGGCAGGCTCGCGGGCCTCTTCCGCAACCCAGACACCCGGGGGGGGGCAGCTTCCCCCCCGGAGAGCCCGAACGAGGCCAGACCTCGCTGGAGGTCCGGTCTCGGCCCCGTCCTCGCGGGGCTCTCAAGGGCGGGTGCCGCGGGGGGAGCCACGTCGGACTCGACGCGGACGGGGTCGGAGCCACCCTGTGGCGGACCAGGAACAGCAGGCTGGACTCCCGGACCAGCCCAGGAGGCCGGTCGAGCCGCAACTTCGGGGCTGACAAATTGCTGTCCTCGTCGGGTAGCACAGTCACGCGCTGTACGCTGAGGTGTTCCTTAGCGGGGTGAAGGACGCGCGAAATCCAATCCAACTGGCGTTCCCGCCCAGCCGTTTTTTTAGCCCAAGCTATCCGCCGCGAGGAGACTCCGACCGCAGTGGCCCCCACGGGCACAAGTCGCCCCACAGCCCGTACCGAGCGCAAGCGACACGTGACCCTGGCTTCTAAAATTGCGTAGCACCGCGCAAGCCACACGTGAAGACTCGGCCAAGTAGCCCGCGACTCCACCAGGGGCGACCGCTCTTCCGCGGCAACACTCCCGCCTGCCCTTTCCGCCAAACCACTCCCGCCACCCCCGGAAGGGAGGAGAGGAGGAGGAGGAGGAGGAGGAGGAGGAGGAGGAGGAGGAGGATCAGAGGAGGGAGTGGGAACAGGGGCAGCGTTGGCACACGCCTCGCTGCTTTCGGCAGCTCACTCCCTTTCCACCATCGCCGCAAAAGATGTGACGAGATCGAGATAGACCGACTTCATCCAAGCCAGGTCTACATGAACACGCTGCTTTCGGCAGCTCACTCCCTTTCCACCATCGCCGCAAAAGATGTGACGAGATCGAGATAGACCGACTTCATCCAAGCCAGGTCTACATGAATTCCCTTGATGGGATCCGAGAGCTCTGCCTCCATGGAGGCCGAGAAGATGCACGTTATCCGAGCCAACTCTTGGACACCGAGGCAGACCTGACGCATCTCGAGAGGAGCGCGAAATGGCTGGCCTGCGGCCATCGCTAGGCCGTCCGCCAGCTCGTTACGTTGACGCTGCTGAAAAGTGATGGCCCCGCCGAGCATCTGAGCAACCGTAGTGTGAGACTAAATCGTCACAGCTCTTAAGACTTCTCATCGGTCGCCGACCTCATTCCACCAGTGGGCCCTGGGGTTCTTGGGCCCTCGGACACTGGCGGGGTCCACAACGCAACCAACAGTGCCTGCACAGTTCACGAAGATGGTGGAGGGGCCAGCTATCAGGGCATGCCTCGACAGCATGAGGAGGGCGTAGTCCTCGCCGTCCCTGTCTATTCGCTCGGGAGCCCCACTCAGCGGGACGACCCCTGAATTCGAACTAATACGATCGCCATTCTCATTGCCGCAATGCAGCCCAGGACGCAACGCGGGGGTTAGCAAACAAGGTCTCGATCCCCGCCCAATCGGTAAACATCGCACTGCCAGATGGGATCACTAAGGGCTGGTCACGAGACCAATTGTGGAATCAAATGTAATTATTGTCGGCCTCGCAGGGGCGGCGCTGGAACGAGTGCGAAGGGCCGGGGAAGATACAACGAGCAACCAACTCACACACGTCCTCCTCCTGGCCCCACGGGGGACCAGGAGGAGGAGGAGGAGGAGCAGGAGGGGTAGGAGGAGTAGGAGAGGGAGCTGCCGTTCTGCTGCAAGCTGCTGTTCTGCTGCAAGCTGCTGCAAGGTTCGGCATCGAGGCTGACCGATGCTCACCGAGCACAGCGCTCGGCACCGAATGCCAGCTCATGAACAATATGTGCTCAATGATGAGACAAAAACAAGTATGGTGTTGGGGGGAAGGTGTTGGGAAAACACAAGGTGCGGCTGTGTAACAAGCACCTTCATCATACGCCGTAATCTGGATAATGTGATCATGTCTGCCATCGAGGATCTACTGACCCGGGTCAATCCACACCCAGGTCGGTCAGGCTCTGCAAGATCCTGCAAGATCCTGTAGGATCCTGCAGGACCTGCACCCCGGCCCGGTTCAGTGCGACCCTGGCTGTGCCGGCATGCGGATCGCAGCCGATGCTCGACATCCACATCCAGGGATGCGACATGTGGATATCCATGTCGGGCATGCGGATGCGACCCAAGATGTCGCACCGCATGCGGAAATCGAGGAGGAGCAGGAGGAGGAGAAAGCGGAGGAGGAGGAGGAGGAGGAGGAGGGAGAGGGGAAGGAGGAGGAGGAGGAGGAGGAGGAGGAGGAGGAAGAGCAGGACGATGAGGAGAAGGAGGACAAGGATGAAGAGGAGGAGGAGGAGGAGGAAGAAGGGGAGGAGGAGGACTGGAGGAGGAGGAGGAGGAGGAGGAGGTTTGATAAGATAAGACCGATCGCGAAGCGAGTAGGAGTAGGAGTAGGAGTAGGAGTAGGAGTCAAGCTAGCCAGCTCGAGCGAGTCAAGCATGGCATGCCCAGTCCCACCCGCCCTCCCACAACATAAGAAGCAAAGCTGGCACAACTGGGGGCCGAAGTCACACCGGCCAGCCGGTTTGGTACAGCTGATGCGGCCGCGATGGCGGTTGCCGACGGGAACTGGCGAGCGCGTGTTGAATGCCGCGCACGCATTGCCAGACGAGTCGAGAATGGCCCGGTACACCGCAGGCGTTGGTGCGCGGCGCCGAGGCGAGATCGACATGTCACCCCTTCGCGCGGGGTGTGCGCCGCGTCCCATTCCTGCCATGCATTTTGCGACGTGGACGACAGGACGTCCATGCGACGGTGCCAATGACGGCGACGACTCTAGAAGGATTTGAGCATGCGCTCGCGGCGACGCGCGCGCATGTCGCCCGCGTGGTATTTTTTGCACAGGATTCGCGGCCTGGGTGCATGACAGAGCATCGCGAGTGCACCGCGCGATGACGTGAAATCGCTGGATTTGACCGAATTCTTAAGATTCCTATGGTTTTCCTATGATTTCAGCAAGAGAGCCCGGGCAGGAAATTTGTAGAATTTTTGTGAAAAAAGCATTGGGTTTTTGATGTTTTTATGTTGAAATGCTTGCAAACACACGGTGTTCGGTAGGATTCTGACATGAACGCGCGCGTGTGCTCTTTGTGGTATTTTTTGCAATGGATTATCGCCGTGGACGACAGGACGTCCATGTCGAGAGGAAAAAATAAGAAAAATGTTGATTTTGTATTGTTTTTTACATGTTAGGATGGGACCACCCGGATGGGGCCCCTATCTGCCGGCCTGAGGGGGGAGTAGGAGTATATTCTAATAAGGAATAAGCATCGGAGTAGGAGTAGGAGTAGGAGTAGGAGTCAAGCTAGCCAGCTCGAGCGAGTCAAGGCACAACTGGGGGCCGAAGTCACACTGGCCAGCCGGTTTGGTACAGCTGATGCGGCCGCGATGGCGGTTGCCGACGGGAACTGGCGAGCGCGTGTTGAATGCCGCGCACGCATTGCCAGACGAGTCGAGAATGGCCCGGTACACCGCAGGAAGCCAGAGGTGGCCGGAGGAAGCCCGACGGTCTGACAGGACACCCCAAAGCATTTTTGTGAAAAAGCATTGGGTTTTTGATGTTTTTATGTTGAAATGCTTGCAAACACACGGTGTTCGGTAGGATTCTGACATGAACGCGCGAGTGTGCTCTTTGTGGTATTTTTTGCACAGGATTCGCGGCCTGGGTGCATGACAGAGCATCGCGAGTGCACCGCGCGATGACGTGAAATCGCTGGATTTGACAGAATTCTTAAGATTCCTATGGTTTTCCTATGATTTCAGCAAGAGAGCCCGGGCGGGAAATGTGTACAATTTTTGTGAAAAAAAAAATTGGGTTTTTGATGTTTTTATGTTGAAATGCTTGCAAACACACGGTGTTCGGTAGGATTCTGACATGAACGCGCGCGTGTGCTCTTTGTGGTATTTTTTGCAATGGATTATCGCCGTGGACGACAGGACGTCCATGTCGAGAGGAAAAAATAAGAAACATGTTGATTTTGTATTGTCTTTTACAGGTTAGGATGGGACCACCCGGATGCGGCCCCTATCGGCCGGCCTGAGGGGGGAGTAGGAGTATATTCTAATAAGGAATAAGGATAGGAGGAGGAGGCGGAGAAGGAGGCTGAGGAGAAGGAGGAGACGGAAGAAAAGAGGAGGAGGAGGAGGAGGAGGAGGAAGGACGGTTTCACGGAAGCGAAGGAATGATATAGAGCACGACGGAGGAGGAAAAGGGAGGCGGAAGAAGAGGAGAGGAGAGGATCCCCCGACGTCCCCTCCACTCGCGTCGCCGAGCCGAAGCTCCCGTACGCCGCGGACGGCATCGGCAGCGGCGCCAGCAGCCGCACTCCTGCGGGGGCCGCGGCGGCGTCGGCGCCGCCTGGTGTGCCGGTGTGCGCCGCCGTGCGCCGCCGCCGCCGCCGTCGTCGTCGACGACGTCGTCGTCGCCTCTTTCGCCGCTCCCCTCCCCTTTCCCTAGGCCCGTCGTCGTCGTCGTCGTCGTCGCCGTCGCCGTCGTCGTCGTCGTCGTCCTCGTCGTCCTCGGCCTCGTCGTCCTCCTCGTCGGCGAGGTCCTCGGGCGCCTGCCTCGGGGGCCGCGCCCGCGTGGCCACGGCTGAGGAGAGGGCCCCTCGTGGCCGCGGCCGGGCCGGGAAGCGACGTGCGCCAGGGGCCGCGCGAGGCCAAGCGGGGGGGGGGGGGAGGGTAAAGCGCGTGAGCGCTGGCCGGAACAGGCAGGCCGTGGCCCGGACGACCGACTAAACCACTCAACCCAACCCGAAGAGCCGAATTTGACCCGAATGTCGGGTTGGGGGGGGGTGCGGGTTCCATGTGTTTTTTCAATGTTCCCCGACCCCCCCCCCACTGGAAATGGAGGGCAAATTGAGGCCTTCGGGGTGGGTTGGGGTGGTTTGGTGGACGGTGAGAGCCTGGGAAGGTCAGGAGGCAGCGCCTGGCTCGGTGACAACTCGTGGGAGCCTCTCATACCAGTTCGTCGGCTCTTGCGAGCCGACTCTGCATCGACGCTAAGTCGACGCCAAGCAACGCGAATCGACGCTAGTCGACGCTACATCGACGCCAAATCGACGCTAATCGACGCTGCGTCGACGCTAATCGACGCTAGCCGACGCTAGCCGACGCTAAGTCGGCGCTATCTCATCGACTCCAGACGCTAATTGACGCGAGTCGATGCCAAAAACGGAATTAGAAGGGTACACCAGGCTTCCAAGTTTTGCAACCGGAGAGTCTAAGAGATTCGGAGGCAACACCTCGGAAGTCTTCGTCAGATCGAGTACAAGCCATGAAGCCCGACTGAAGGGCTCTGAAAACGGATTTAAACGGATGCGGCCCAGGATTAAGCCTAAGCCAGCAGTAAACAAACTTGAATCCGATTAGAACCGTTTCGGACGACGGATATGCAAGCGCCGATGCTGAATCAGACCTCCCATGAATTGAAAACTCAGCGTCTGGGAGGTCTGCGGAGGCTGATTCAGAGCAGACCCGGACCTCGGCCTCCGGAAGCCGTTCTCGAACCTGGCGGAAATATGAAGAAACCCATCCTGGGAGAAAGCACATGCCCGGGAAAGGGGACGGGTAGAGATCTCTGCAGGCCCGCAGGACAGCAAAATGTGGTGGCGACGGGACTGGAAGCGTGCCCCAGCGCCACTACGTTGGGCGTGTATGCGGACTGTACGCGTGCAGTGTTGAGTTCGCATGTCTGGTGCGTACACGTTGCATCGGTGGCTGCCAACACGGACCCCAACAGTGAGTTATGCTACGAGGGGTGTGTACCGAATGTGACGCCATGTCCGCCACCGCGCCCCTGGGCACGGATGGGGCCGGTCCTCCGGTGCTCTGCCCCATCCGCTGAGCCTCCATCCTCACTCCTGAGCAGTCTCCGAGGGACCAGACCCCAAATTTTTCAGTCGAGCCTGTCCCCCTACAGGGGGATTCTGGATGAAAGCTTAAAAAACAATGCACAAATTACTCAAAACATGGCCCGAACTGCTAAAAAAATAGTCCCCAGACTATTTTTTGATTATTTTTGAATATTCCCCCTGTGGAGGGACAGGCCCGACTTAACCCAAATTCTCAAACTCGGCTGTGCTACCCGCGTGGTGGCGCGTGAAGTTCTCGGGCCCACGAGGGCTCCAAGATGAGCCAAGAGGGCCCCGAAGACGGTCCAGGAGGGCCCCGAGTCGCCGAACAATCGCTCCACGACGCTCAAGATGGTCCACGACTGCCCAAGAGGCCTCCAAGACGCCCTAAGAGGCCTCCAGGAGGCCTGCCAAGAGGGCCCGAATATGCCTAAATCGCGGACTTTTTCGATGATTGATGAATGGTTTTTGGCTTTCTCGCCGCTTCGGTTTCCTGACGCTCCCAGCTTAGGCCCCCAAGGTCACCCCAAGACGGCCCAAGAGGCCTCCAACAGGCCTCCAAGACGGCCCCAGAATGGCTCAAGAGGGCCCCAAGACGGCCCCAGAGACGCTCAAGACGGCCCAAGAGGCCCCAAAAGCGGCTCCAAAAGAGGACCCGGATGGGGGACCCGAACGGACACTTCGAATCCTTGGGGCCCCGAAGGGCCCCCAGGAGACCTCAAGAGGCCCCCAAGAGGCCCCCAAGAGGCCCCCAAGAGGCCCCCAAAAGGCCCCACGAGGCCCCCAAGAGGCCCCCAAGAGGCTCCCAAGAGGCTCCAGCACTGCCCCCATGAGGCCCCTGAGAGCGCTCCGAAGAGACCCCACGCAGCATCCCTGAGAACTCTCACCACCAACGTAGGCACGGTGGCGGGATGGGCCGAAATCAGATATGCTGTATAGGCAACGTGGTGCAAGGTATGCAGTACAAGTTCTGTGGTGTAAGCTATGTGGCTTTAAGCTAGACGCCGACGGGCGTTGTTCGCTTTTCTTGCCTGGGCGCCGTTCCTTGGCTCTGGGACCTTCGCAAAACGACACACCAGTCCCCAGGAATGGGTCGAGAGGTCCATGGGCCACGCATTGAGAAATCCAGCGCATCAGATGTCTGGGACGCTACAGCGTGGACGGCACGAGCGGGATGATGATGCTGATGATGATGATGATGATGATGAGGAGGAGGAGGAGGAGGAGGAGGAGGAGGAGGAGGAGGAGGAGGAGGAGGAGGAGGAGGAGGGGGCCCCTCGACGCTGCCGGCAGCCCTCAAAGTCGGCAGTCGGAGCGAACCTTACGACAAAGCCCTGCTGCCAGATGACTCACGGGGAGGCGGGGGGAACCCGGCGAGCCCGCGGAGATCGCATCGGGGCCTCGGGGAAACATCTCTGCAGGCCCCCGGGGGACGGGCGCAGGCCCAGAACACATCCACAAGTCTCGACTCTGAGGGCGGAAGGGATCGACTACAGAAGTGAGTTACCCCTGAATTGATTGGTTCCTCGAGCCTACGAAAGGTGCGTATAATGGGCCATCGATTTGCGAATGTGTTACGCATGTGTTGCAAATGCGACGCGAGAATCAATTCTGCTGTAAACCAATGATGCAGTCGATCCCCTGGTGACCCAGCCCGGCGAAAACGAGACAGGCGGCCCAGAGCGTGGGACGACAAGAGACCCGCCCGAGGTCGACCCGTCCAGGAGCTCTCCAGAGAACCCGCTGCCGCTCGAGAGAGCTGCGGCCAGTGACCTGCCCTCGGCGTGTCGCCGCGGCGGCCCCGGCGGCACGCGACGCCCTGCGCAGGCTGACGGCGTGTCGCTCCGCTCCGCGGGACGGGAGGCCTCCAAAGGGCCCGGGAGGCGCTGACGCCCGGCGATCCCGCGGCGTGGCCGGCGTGCCGCGCCGATCGGCGCGAATTGGGCCAGAGCCGGCGGCGCGACACGCCAGGCCAGAGCCCGTGAACGTGGTGCTCTGACGTCGGGCCTGTTCCTCGACAGGAGGAGTGCTCCAAGATAGTCCAAAAATACTCTGGGGGCGATTTTCCTAGTACCAGTGGGCTCTTGTGGAACATGGTTGGAGAACTTGCGTACTCTTCGTCGAAAGCCGGCCTGCAGGGGGACATGCCCGACCTAGTTCGGTTCCCCAAGAGGGGGGAGTCCAAGAGGGGGGGTGCAAATCATGGCCGGCGGCGTGTGCGCGGCCCTGGGGGGGTGCCAGGGACGTAATGAGATAGGAACCCACGCCATAATATCCAACCCCCCCTAGTCATCACCCCCCTCTTTGCCGCCCCCGAAACGGGGGTGGGCGGCGCACGGGGCGTGCCCCCGCCAGCAGGCTCGCATTGCCCCCTCGTCCGAGAGCCGGCCCAGCTGCCAGCTGTAAGGATCCAAGGGCTCCCAACTTCGCGCTTCGCGCTGCGCGAAGCGCGAAGTGCAAATAACTTCGCGCTCTCGCGCCGCCTCCCAAGGGAGAAGAGGAAGATGAGGAATCGGAGCCGAACCGCGAAGCGCGAAGCGCGAATAACTTCGCGCCCTCGAGGGCGCCCTTGGGGATCGGTGCCGTCGGCCCCTGCCTGGGAGCCTCGGCCCTCACAGGAGCCTGCTCTGAAGTCGGGCGTGCCCACCTGCAGGGGAATTCTGGCCGAAACAAACAAATTGTCAAAGCATGTTCAGGACTGGCAGAAAATACTAGAAAAATCGTCCCCAGGCTCTGTTTTGACTATTTTTCAATATTCCCCCTGTGGAGGGACAGGCCCGACTTGAGCCTGCTCGCGGGAAGCAGAAAGCGGAGGAAGATAAAACGGCATAAACATAAACTTGTGGCGCTCCGCACGGATTTCTTGGATCTGCGCCGGACCCCGGCGCCAGGGGCGGCGCCGGAGGCGCCGCCAGGGGGGGGGGGGCAGCGCGGATCCAAGAAATTCGCGCGGAGTGCCAAAGGTTCATGTTTATACCGTCCTTTCTTCTTCGAGTGGAGGCGAGGCGAGGAGAAGAGGGCAGGGGTGGGGTAGGTGCAGGCGCCGCGAGGCGCCAAGAAGCGGGCGGGCGCTTCCGTGGTAGCGCGCCGCGGCGTAGCGCGCAGCCTCCGCCAGGGCGAAGACGCCGAAGACCAGCAGCAGGGCGGGCGACAGCGGCGGCTCGCCGGCCACGGAGGGGACCGCCGCCTGCGCAGCCCGTCGGGTGAACGTCGTCGACGCCGGCGTCGGCGGCACTGGTGTCCTGGTCGTCGTCAGCTCCCAGACCTCGTCGGACGAGCGTCGCCGTCGTCATGTGGCGGTCATCGTCGACGTTCTCCACCAAAGGGGAGCAGGAGGAGGAGGACGAGGAGGAATGAAAAGACGATGGGATGGACGGCGAAGGCAGCGATGATGATGATGGTGATGATGATGATGATGATGATGATGATGATGATGATGATGATGATCATGCTGATGCTGATGCTGATGCTGATGCTGATGATGATGATGATGATGATGATGATGCGGAGGAGGAGACGGATAATGCTGGTGATGGTGATGGAGGTAGTGATGATGAGGATTATCATGATGAGGATAATGAGGAAGATGATGATAAGTAGGATGCGGATGGGCATGATGCTGATGATGATAATGATGATGACGATGATATCATGGTGATGGTGATGATGATGGTAATGAGACTGACCATGAGGCTGACAATGAGGACGATGATCTTGATGATGGTGAGGATGAGGGTGATATGGAGGATGCGAATGCGGATGGGATGAGGATGATGAAGATACTGATGATTATGATGATGCTGAAAACGATGATGATGACGACGATGGAGATGGTCAGCATGCTGATGATGATGATGATGGTGTTGATTATGACAACGATGATGCTGATGAGCACCATGATGATGATGATTATGGTGATGGTGATGGTAATGATGAGGATGATGATTGTGATGGTGATGATGATGACGATTATAATGATGATGCTGATGATGGTGTGATGATGATGGTGTTACTGGTGATGGCGATGGTGATGCTGATGAGTATAAAAAGTGATGAGGATGAGGATGATGGCGATGGTGACAACGATGGTGATGATGATGATGATGATGATGATGATGATGATGATGGTAATGACGATGGTGATGAAGATGATGATGAACATGAAGATGAAGATGAAGATGATGGAGATGATGGTGATGTTGATGATGATGATAATGATGATGATGATGCTGATGATGATGATGATGATGATGATGTCGGTGGTGATGATGATGATGATAATGATGAGGATGATGGTGATGATGGTGGAAATGACGATGGTTATGAAGATGATGATGAAACGGGTGTTGAGGATAATGATAATCTGAATGATGATGATGATGCTGATGATGACGATGATGATGATGATGGTGATGGTGATGATGATGATGAGGAGGAGGAGGAGGAGGAGGAGGAGGAGGAGGAGGAGGAGGGGGAGTGCGCCGACGACGAGGGCAAGGAAGAGGAGATTTCCGAGCTCTGCCGGAGGTACCAGCGAGCCTCCGAAGGTCCACCTCCGCAGACCTCCAGAGGCCCACAGAGGGGCACGCAAAAGCCTCAAAAGCTAAAATCGGCACGTGCTCGATACGTGGGGCTCCCTCCCGGTCCAATTGGCGGGGAACGCGGGACGAGAGCGAGGAGGGGGATAACTGAAAGCTCGTTCTTTGCACCTTCTTGGAGCGACTCGCTCCACTCATGCGTCGATCCTGCGTCGAACGTCCGTCGACCCGAGTCGACCAGGAGTCGAACTGGAGTCGACCTCGAGTCGAGCTGGAGTCGGAGTAGAGCCGAGAACTACGATCGAACTTAAATCGAGCGAGAATCGAAGTACAATCGAGACCTAGAATCGAACTAGAAACGAACAGATCCGATAGGTGGTCCAGGAAAAGTTCTAAAAACGAACATCACATGAAAGCATCGGGGCATCGAAGGAGGAAATCGGGACCGTGGGCGCGCCTCCGAAGCCAGGCGCCATTCTTCCCGGATCTCTGGCGGCTTCAAACGCGGCGCCACATTTTTCTCACAGGGAGCAACTGTTGCCCGAAGTCGACAAACTTCGCCGAACAATCTCGCTGAGACAACTAGCAAACTGTCACAAAGGAGTTCTTTTCGCGAAAGGAGATCAAGAACGTGTCGGCCTCAGGGGACCGTTTCCAGGGCCTCGAGACGCTCGAGAAACGATCCAGCATGAACACCCAGGCACAGGAAGGGATCGAGAACCTCGCAGCCCCGAGACTCAAAAAAGGGGTGTTCGGAAGTCTGGGTCTATGTCTCTCTCTCTCTCTCTCTCTTTCTCCCTCCTTCTTCGATGAACGCTTTGCGCCCGCCTCATCCTCCCTTCTCCCGGGTGCCCGCCCCGCAGCCTAACTGCCATTACTCCTTCTTCCAAATTTCTGCCTTGACCACCCTGCTTCCCGTACCAGCTACTTCCCCTGTGCAGCTCAAATGGCACTCCGCCTCACATTCTCTCCCTCCGTGTTCCCCTCCTCTTCGAAAGGGTGGAAGGATAAGGATTCACGTAGGCATGGGCGAAATCTGTGAGAACGCACAAATCCGCCGACCCTGTCGGCGGGTGCGAGGGCTGTGTCG